GGTGCTTCTCCCTGTATATGAATTAGAGTAGCAAAGTGTGTGTAACAGTAAGCGAAAAAACTGAAAAAAATATTGAGCACAATCGTTAAAAAACATCCTTTTCTTTGTATATGTAACTATAATATTGTTATGCTGCTGTTCATAATATACAAAATTTTCATCACATTTAGTACGACTTTTTCAAGACATGAATATGATTCATGTTGGTTATCGTTTATATAGTGCCAAAAACTAGATATTGTCCCTAAAGAAATGTATTTTCAATGATGCCTCATGACGCTGACCGTCATTTCCGAGGCGGAAATTTGACGTTTCTTCGACGTATACAGAGAAAAGATCACCAAGTTATTATTAGAAAAAAAATCATCTTTACCTGTATTGGATTGGGAATCGGAGTTGGTTGCTTAAGAGTCTGATCGATCGGACTGGGGTTTTCTTTTATCCGCTCCTCCTTGAGTTTGTCGTCTTGGACGAGGGGAACTCCCCCGTAATTCGAGTCCATGTTGTAACCATACCCCTGCATATAACTGAAGGGGTAATAGTGTTGCGGTACGACCTTCTGAGGGTAGTCGGGCGTATCCTTTTTAACGTCTTTCTCGATTGCTTTTTCGGATTGCTTTTCGGGTTCCTTAGGCTTGTCTTGTTGCGTTTGTTGCTGGAGGAGATAGATGTGTAATTTTTGTGCAATTTGATCGAATTTGGTCATCGAGTTTCTTGGAAATAGTGGACAGTTTTTAAAACATCAAAACTGCAATTTTTTTTTCACAAAGAACGTCACATCGACAAAACAAATGAGACGTGCTGTGAATGCTCAATTTACAAAATACATTGTTTTCGAGGCCAGAAAACAAAAACCATATCATAATAAATAAGTTATCGAGGTATTAATTTCACGCAATATTACATGCTTCGACTATAGGTTCAGTATAGGATAGAGAAAATAACTTTTGTCTGACTTCAATTAAGTTTTTAATTCGTTACGACCGGTTCGGTTTATTGAACCATTTTCAAGTAAATTCTGAGTTTACTCAAAGTGTTAAAATTGATGAAATGCAATCTAATTATCTATTTTTTGAAATATAGAGTTCCCCAAGGATCAATTCTTGGACCACTGTTGTTGCGGTATATACCTTTAATCTCATTAGAAGTCTTCATCAATGTTACGTAGATGATACTTGGATGAATTTCTTTTTTCCCTCTTCAGAAACTGATACAGCTTGTAGTATAATTGATAGAGAACTGAATACATTTATCAAGAATGCTTCAGATCAATGCTTGATTATGAATTTCTCTGAATCATCATTCCATCCGATTTCAAAATGACGAGTTTTCAGGTTTTCAAGAGTCTCTTCAAACAGTATTAAGTCAACCTTTCTTGCTAATTCTCGTTTCAAATTAGCTTCTGATTGAAAAGTTGAATATGAATATTTGTATCGTGGTGTATCTAGTTGTAGTCCATGACCTCCCTGTTGTCGGGGAAAGTATAACCATGGAACGGATTATTTGGGATGCAAACTCCTATAGAGATGTATAATTTTTCGGGTCTTTACGTCGAGTTGATTCAGCTCCTCCTGAATCCAATTCACTACTCCAAACCAATAGATTGGAACAGTAATCATATTGGATGCAGCACTGTAATTCTTCCCCGACAGTTCCGATGACCAGATCTGTCGACGTTTGTGCTGATACTCGCCGCGAAGAGAGTTCTTCACTGATGTTACCTCTTGTGAGTGGCGTTGTTCCACCCCGAGGTAAGTATACGTCTCTCGGGCATCCAAATGGTGTAGGATGCTTCCATCTACGAGCACATCGTCCTCTTTTGAGATGGACCATTATTATTATTATTACTCACAATTGACCGCCTTGGGAGCCTCGATTATCTTTATTATGCGAGGGCTGAGTTTTCAGTCGATCCCACAGATGGCGTTTTCGTAGGAGGAGATGTCGTCATCTCTAGTTTCAGGCTTGTCCATTTTAGACCAATTCAGTAGTTCAGCCGAGCATCAGTGATGGTACCTTGTCGGGCCGAAACAATGCTGCCTAGTGTCTGATCATAAGTTCATCTAATAACTGTAGTGAAAGACAGAGGGTTAATTTCGTTCGGTTGTCGATGTCGAAGATTGGCATTGCAACTGAAACAAATGTCTTACTGGCTATTGACTGCTGAAGTTGTAGTTTGTGGTTCTTATAGTTAATTATTAAAACGTCTCTGACTTCTTATTACAGATAAGACCAGAACTTAGGTTAATGGAAAGTAAATATCCCTAAAATCAAATTCATTAATGAAAAACGCTGGAGATATTAAACCCCAGTTATATGCATTCAGACTCTTTATGCCTGACCTTTCATTTGCACCACAGTTGTTTTTTGATATTTCGATCATTTCACATAAGAGTATTTTTCTTAGATAGGATTATTTGGCAATAATAATGGTATTTTAAAAATCGCTGTACCTTGTTGAAAGCATGATCCGCCAATGAGATTGTGTTTCTTTAATATCAAGTTTGGTGGTACTGTATCTCCTTTGTGTTCGGCAATACGTTTCTTAAGATAACGTTATGTCTGCCCTAAGTAAGTTGTATCATAATTTGACGCGGATATTACATCAAATTGCAATTCTAATTGAATGACGATTTTGAAGTTTGAAAACATTTCCTGGGCAGTTTTACCATTTTTAAAAACTATTTGTATGGATTTGCTTTTGAGAATGTGGGCTTGTCATTCGAGCAGTTGACTTTAGTAACAGATTTTGAAAATCATTCATGTAAATGAAATAATCTGAAATGTTTTCTGATAGTAAATTAGGATTCATCGCATCAGTCTCAGCCGTGGATTGTTTCGAAGCATTTCATTATCAACCAGATCATTACAGTTTTGTTGTTGAAAAACATTAAAATACAAGGCAAAATCAACTTACCGAAGATACCAGATACTGATGTGTCTGCCCGTAGAACGGGTGATACATATTGTACTGGGGCAAATGCGGCACGCTCTGCCCCTGCTCAGTCTTTTTATCCGCGTTCTTGCCCTTCTCGCCAATCTCCGGCTCCATGACCGGAGGGGTATCGTCCGAAATGTCCGAATACGCCGGACTTTGCACCTCTTCCCTCCCTGACGGTTCCCCCCCGTACAGCGGCTGCTCGGGAGGATGAGGACTGCTCGCCGGAGACTTCCGGCTCTTCTTCTTCGCGAAGTTCTGCACTTTGGAAGCAGTCACCTGCTGCTGCTGCTTCTTCTCGTCGGGCATGAGCGCCGACGTCGGTTTCACCTTGAACTGCGTGACCTTGGCGGCGGGGCTGGGGGAATGGGGCGGCAGCGGGGAGAGCTGCGGCTGGATCTGTGCCCCGGCCGCCTGCCCCGGAATTATGATAGAAGGCGGCTGCGTGAACTGCTGCGCGGGCGAAGAGGCCACTTGGGCGAAAGACTGTGGCTGTGGGGGGGTTTTAGGCGGGGGAGGTTCGGAATGGTTGGGCGACGGTTCGGTCGACGCCGTTAGTGTGGGCGCCGCCGTTGGTCGGCTTGAAGGCAGTGGATTCGAACTCGCTATCGGCGGACCTGAAAACGACAAAGAGGTTAGAGGGGGCGGGGAGGTTTCATTGCCTCCGGATTGGCTCATGGGACATGGGACATTTTCAAATCGTCTACTCCTGCGAATGAAAACTAATTATAATAATAACACACGTTGACATTAGTATTTGATAAGAAACCGCAGTATATCACTCGGAAGGGTTATGAAAACATCTTTCAGTGAATGCTGTCATATTACAGTTAATAATTCTTTACAGTAATTTAGGGAAACAGATATATATTTAAGGATTAAAGGAATATAAGTAGGTATATAGTGGCATGATCTGTCGGAGGTCCAGTGTTAGGGAACCTCATAACAGAATTTTCTTGGCCATAATGGTTGTAAAATAATGAGCAGAGCGGATATCCACCATGAGGCCTGCAATTGCAAAACTCACTATATGCATTTTGGTCAATATCCTAGGCAACAGCAGATACTTAATCTATGCTTACCTCTTCACAAAATTTTACATATTCTCAAATTATTTTCACAAGCAGATAGAGCGAGTTTTGCAGTGCCACGCATAATATGATAATGCGGAAAAGGGATGCATGTATCAGGTCCTGAATATTATAACAAGGTAGACTGAAGAAGGGCTGAATGTGAATCAAAGGAAATCGACCATGCATTTTCTGAAAGAACCAAATAAGAGTGACTTGGATCTCGAAATGTCAAGATGGAGAAGAAGTGAAATCAAAACAACAGTTTTGGTCAGTATAAAAAGAAAAGAGGAGATAGGACTGGTACTGAGAGAACATACTTACGTAAAAACGTGGGGACTAAAACGAGATATGATTTATTGGCTATACTCTAATAGTGATTCAACCCATCATGAAACAAGCTATTAACAAACTACAGAGAGGTAAAAAACTTGCTTGTTTGGGAATATCGCGAGCAAAAAATCAAACCTACAGTAGAATTGAAGAAACGTCAGAAGCATTGTGGAACGAACATCAAAACATTTTCCACACAAATTTCACAACCAAAATCCTAAACCTTGAATGGTAAATGATGATCAGTCATGCTGAAAATATACAAGAAAAAAACATGTGTGGTATACAGATGGGTCAAAAACCGAAAATGGATCATGAGCTGGAATTTACATTGAAATCCTCACTCCTGCAATACACATACGTCATCCTGGCACAAATGTATGTAATCTTGTAATGCTGGTAGAGGTTTGGGATAGTAATAAACGTAGTAAACACTCAGAAATCACAGGCAATGACAAAAGCTGATGAGTAATCATAAACTCTGTATTTGGGTTCTGAACCAGCTGAACCAGATCAGGGAAATGGTAGTACCCTCAAACAAATGTAATACAAATTAAAAAATACATACTTGGTTAAAAATCCAATGGAAACACCAGAAGACAAAACACTACCTCCAGATGTGTGTTTTGTTAACCGAGTTAGCATCATCGGGAGATGACTAGACATGCGTTGAGAAACAGCATTTTTGTTTTGGAGGATAAAAATGGTTTTCATTAGGTTCTTATGCGAGAGGTCCACCCTATCTATTAAGTTATACTAAAAAATAATTTCACGAGGTAATCCAAATACTAACATTTCTATCTTTTGAAACTTTCCAGTTCGATCAAAGGAGTAGACCACTCGAAAATAATCTTTCGCCATTATTAAAAAAAGTCCACAAAAATTCATCGCATTGTTATTAAAAAAAATTAACAAATATTTGTTAGTAACAAACACATTTTTAAAAACATTCAAGATGAATTGATACTATATGTGGCTAAATTATAGAGGATTAGTGTAAATGAGCTGAAAACTGTAAAGTTTCATGATGATAAAAATAAAATAACATTCCAACCTTTGCATATCAAAACAATACAGTTCTCACTAATGCACCTTATGAAAACATTTACCAATAGATTACCACAAGTAATTCACATACTTTGTTCAACCCTCAAAAAGATAGCCTCCTTTATTTATTAAAATTATTGATATTGTCGTAAATTCAAAGTATTTTTCCATCGGATTCAATCACATCGTGAATTTATGTTTGATAATAGAGTGGAGATGAGTGGAGATGAAATTGAATTATGGCTAATGAATAATTTCAATCGTCAATTATGGCTAATCGACAGTTTCTATTATCGTTTAGGGCTAATCGACAATTCAAACTGTCGATTATGGTTCAGCAACTATCACAATTAATAGACAGTTCCAACTTTCCATTATGGATAAATTAACAATTTGATCTGTCACTAATCTCCATTTGAACTATCAATTATCTCCACAGTTTAAACTGTCGATAATAACTAGTCGACAATTTGAACTGTCATTATAATTAATCGACAGTACAACTGTTGATTATTGTTAATCAAAAAATGTCGAACTATCAAATAACTCAACAATTTGAACTGCCGATTATGGGTAATAGATCATGACCTATCAAAAGCTTACACTGTGAATTAAGGGAAACGGACAATTTCAGCGTTTGATTATCTTCACAGTTTAAACTGTCAATTATCACCCTTATCGACTATTCAAGCTATGAATTATTTCAATAGTTTAAACTGTTGATCAAGAATAATAAATAAAATGAACTGTCGATCGTGACTGTTACAGGTGGTTTATAATGTAGAATACTTTTAACTCACAATATGAACTCTGGATTATATCAACAGTTTAAACTGTTGATTATGGCTAATCGATAATTTGAACTATCAAATATATCTACAGTTTAAAGTATTGATTATGACTGATAGACATTATAAACTGTCGATTATGGCAGACCGACAGTTTATACTGTGGATCATGATGAACTGACAATTTGAACTGTCGATTATCTCTACAGTTTAAACTGTCGATTATGGCTAAATCGACAAGTTGAACTATCAATTGTGGCTGATCGACAAATTGAATTGTGGGTTATGTTTATTCCACAATTTGAACTTTTAATATCAACAGTTCAAATTGTTGAATATGGTTGATCGACAATTTCAATTGTCAATTATGAAAAATACCCTGAGGCGCCTTGGTAATTGAGAATCATTTGTTAGAATGAAAATTAACACAATGAACGCCATAAAGACACACAAGGAATAAAAAGAAAGCTAGACACATTACCTGCGGGAAGGAAAACCTAGAGGTTAGACGAGAGACACACTAAACAACAAAGGGATTATGAAAACGCACACATCAACGGAAAAACGGTGAATATACCGCTATAATAAAAAGTGACGCGCATACCTTGAACCTGAGCTTTGTTCCCTGAAAAGATACCGACGGGATAGTCTTCCGGCGTCGTATAGCGCAGAACTCCGGGCTTGACGACTGCTTTAGCGTCGGCAACTACTAGAGGCACGGTAGGTGAGCCGGCCGCCGGCGGCAGTTCCTGCGGCGTGGCGGGGGAGGGGGGAGTGCTGCGTGGAGTGCCAGGCTGGCTCGAGGCTTCGCGCAGAAGCAGCGGCAGCTCGCTCTCCTTCTTCGGAGGCGTCGCCGGACTGTCCTGACTACTCTTGTCAGGACTCTTTGCTTGCGGCGCATTCAACGGGCTTGGCGCCTCAATATTCGACTCGTCATTCTCCGACATGGACGTCACGTCCTTTGTGTCGTCATCGTCAGCCGAGCTGTGCGCGTGCGACTGGTGGTACTTCAGCCCGTTGATATGTTTGTACTTCTTCGAGCAGTTCGGCTCCGGGCACTCCAACAGCACGGGGGAGGGGGGTGGGCTCCCGCATGGGACGGGGGCCACCGGCGGCGGTCCCACGACCTTAGTCTTCTTGACGGTACCGCTGGGTGGGGTGTCCTCTTCGCCGACTCGGTTCTTGCGTTTGTTGTCCGGGCGGGGCGGCGCAAAGGGCGCAGGCGACGAGGGGGCCGTCGACGGACCGGCGCCGTTGGCGGTGGCAGTAGCTCCTCGGCGTCCCTTGAGGGCAGCGGCAGCGCCTCCGCCTCCACCATTGCGCAGCTTGCTGTGGACCGATGACCGCGTCTCTGTGAAGTTGCTTAGGTCAGTGCTAGGTGTTGGCTGAGCAGCCGCAGAACGTCCTCTCTTACCTCTACCTTTTGGTGTGCGGTTGTCCAGGTCACTTGTGGGGGAATCACAGAATCTGCGGGAAGAGAAATACTGGATTATTGAACTAGTTTCAATGAAAATCAAAAGAAAATAATAATAACAGTGAAGAAATCTCTCCGCGGCAAGTATCAGCACAAACTTCGACAGATCTGGTCATCGGAACTGTCGGGGAAAAACAAAGTTGCTGCAACAAATATGCCTGCCGTTCCAATCTTACTCTACTCGTTTGGAGTGGTGAAGTGGACTCGGGAGGAGCTGTATCAAATCGACGTTAAGACCCGAAAAATGATGCGTCTCTATAGGAGTTTGCATCCCATATCGTCCGTTCCACGGTTGTACTTCTCCCGACAACAGGGAGGCTGTGGACTTTCGAGTTTGGAGTGTCTACATGACAGAATGGTACTGGATACAGCCTGTAAAGTCGTCAGGAGTTCGGATCCCCTTCTCTGCATGGTCCGTGACCATGAGAGAGCAGGAATTAGAGCATTTCTCTTTAGGACAGCTGCCCGAGCAGCTGATTAACTCGGTTTAGTTTCCGACACTGAACGAGGTGACCACAACTCTGTGACCGAGTTGGAACCCGTTCAGCAAAAAGCTCATATAGAAGCCGCAGAGATCACCTCACTTCTGCGGAAACACAAGGATAGTCCAGTGCATGGGGTCTTCTTCAATAACATTGAAGACATTGGCTTATCAAAGCGCCTAACTTTCGCTTTCCTCACGTCGAGTGGCAGAAGTCGAGAACTGAGGGATTCATCATGGCTTACCAGGATGGTATCTTTAACATCTTAGTCTACCGCAGTCGCGTGATGGGTATAGAGGTTCTTGACACAAGGTGCAGGGTCTGCCACGAGGCGCCCGAGACCCTAATATGCGGTCTCGGCCTATATCCATCGACATAACGCGGCCCTAAGATGGCTATATTACAATCTACGGCACTCTTTCGGTATTGACGAAACACCGGTGTTGCCCTACGCTCAGGGGGATATTGAATCCGTTGCGGAGAACGAGAAGTGACGAATTTATTGAAACTATTCGTTTCCCACCCTCAGGCTCATACAAACCAATAAGCATGATGTAGTCTTTCTCGAACACCAGAGCAAAACAATATTTGTTGTGGAGTTTTCAGCTCCTGGCGAGACTAATATTGTCCGAAAAGAGTAGGAAAAACGGATAAAATATCGAGATTTTCTCTTCGAATTCCGCAGACTCTATCCAGACCACTCTGTCAAGATGGTTGTTCTGATTATTGGAGTCCTCGGTGGAATAAAGCCCTTTCTACTCTCAAATCTTGAAATTATACCGGCTTGCCGTAGTAAGACAGAAATCTTAGCCGGACAGATGCAGAAGGCTCTCATTCTTGGCTCACTGCGCTTGCTCAGGGCATATGATTCTCGAGCCCAATGAGCACTTACACCACGGTGTGGGGAGTGGTCGTTGGTTGATGATGCTGGAGCGCCCTCCTGAATGTATCGGGGCTTCGGGGGATAGGGCCAGACCAGCGCACACTACGGTGAAAAAAATAATAATAGTTTGTAGCAGAATGGAACTGAAATCGATTTATAATTGTTCCTAGTTCAGTCACATGATATTCACAGAAAATGTATTTTGCATTAAGCATATAATCATTATAGGAACAACACTGTACAAAAGGATTTTTCATATTACTGATGAAAAACTAGAAATGAATTGGAGGGTTTTCTGGAGCTGTCATAAAGGAATTATTAGTACCGCTTTTAAACGATTCAAAGATATATGGTACATGATTACATAACATATACACATATATACTATCCTCAAAACTTTGTTGAAATAGTACACTTCTGTGGGATGGAGATGAATTTAGACCTATAAGGCGAAGGTGATTGGAATTCCATTTCAATCATCAGATAAGAAGATTGTTTTTATTGAATGATGTTTAGATAAGTCCCTTCATTCATTTTTCGTCTGTTATTCACAGTAAGCCACATTATTTCAGATAATTTATGTGACACATTAACATATTTCCTGATATCAAAAATGTTCTTCAAAGCCGATTTATGAATTATTTCGATTCTATCGGAGTAACTTAGACCAAATGATTCCATAAGCCTAACTTGACGTGTTAATTGTCACACTTGTAACACTTGAAGTGGTACTTGTCAAGTATTAATCTTAGATTTGACGCGCTTGAAACACATTGCATAGTTTTATAGCCCACTTTGATGTGAAAATCTGGCTCTATTTTCTCCCAATTCTTTCCGATCAACATGATTTTTGACTTAGTCTCGGATTCATTTGTAATTTGTATCAAGCGTTCATTATCTTTTTAATGGAGTTCTCGAGATTAGAACTATCTGCATTGAAAAAAATAGTTCTGCATTGAAAAAAATAGTTCTGCATATCAGCTGCATAAAAAAACATCTGACAAATTTTCCATGCAGTTTTTTATTCCACTTGTGTAAACACAAAAGAGAAGAGGACAGAGAATCGACCCTTGAGGTACCCCACATTCAACAAGCTCTTTGGAGGAACTCCCTTTTTCGTTTCTACATATTGTAATTTATAATCACATAGTTCTTCATTGATTCTTTGTAGAGAAACCAATATAATTAAGTAATGAACTGAGCAACTGATGATTGATATTATCAAAAGTTCCAACAATACAAGGGCAGTTCTATCACCTTCATCTGCAGCTCTAAAATTGTCATTTGTAACATTTAACACTGAAACCCTTTCAAAAATTAGATTGGATGTCTGAAAAATGGTTAAATCTTTATGAGAGTTATCCAAAAATAAAGGTGAGGAGCTGAACTTTGCCTGCTATTGACGTATCATTTCGTAGCACTCAATGGAACATTTGCATCTGTCAAAACTTTACGCCTTCACCTTGATCTGCCAATGGCAGCTAGGCGAGAGATTTTGATTTAGAGGCATTAGGAGCCTGTTAGCTCCACGTTAAGCCAAAGTAGAATAATATAACCTTCAACTTCTCTTAGGATGAGATTCTCGTCCAAAGCGTTCAGTGCTGTAGTATCGAAGGATTCGACGGCACCACGGGCATTGGATTAGTTATAATAAACGGTCGGAAATTGATATTGTGTTTAGCTTATACGCTGTTGTTACTACTGTTTTTAGTTTTGTACATTGTAGTACATTGGATACAACTTTTTCTCTAATTGACTGTTTTATATATATCTTGAAAAATAGTTGTGCTTACCGAGGTGGGGCCCAGTCATGCCTAGTGCAGTCCAGCAGGGTCCCAACGTACGTCTTTCCTCTCCAGGTAACGTTAACCACTAGAACTCCTGCGAAATGAAAACAATAAACATTAGATATATCAGAACAAATACGTGGTCTATTCCAAAAATAAGGTGAATATTCAAATTTCGCGAGCTACGATTAGCGCTCAATAAAATATTATGGTACACTCGTCTCGAATATATAATGCCCCCTACTTTTATTTTGTGAACGCGTCAACTCAAAAAATTGAAATTTGGGATAATGAAGTTAATGCATAATGCATTATTTGTGACAAAACAATTATTTTAGGAAGTGGGACTTCATATCTGACAATTTGCAGCTAAATATATCTAAATTATCGTTAACGGAGTTTGTCGCTACATGTTTCGAACCTATATAGGTTCATCATCAAATTATGGAGAAAAAAATATTTTATAATGGAGAAAAGAAAATTGTAACATGTTACCAATGAAACACATGGCCACAATGACATGCTTATAATAATGAAAAATATTTTTTAATGTAGTGAAAAGAAATGTATAACATCATATTTATGTTACTGAGTAGTCTGGGGGTTAATTTTCAATTTGACGATTGGCCCCGTTCACTGTATCCCTAGAATACTCAGTAACAGATCTAAGTCATGATTTGGTGGCTGAAAGCTCATCAGATCTGTGATGTGCCATAAAAATCGTAAATGCATAAGTATGTAAAATGAATTGAGCTGTAATCTTACCTCCTTCAGTCTCGTGCCAGACAATGCCTTCGAGTGTCACGCTGGTGCCGGGTTCGCATGGTCCAAGGCAATCTGGCTCCGTGATGGTTCCAACGCTGGTGCCTACGCAAACGTCTGACACTTCCTGAAACAAGAATGTTCAAATTAACACCGATATTCATTCAACTTTGTACAGTTATATAGAAAGCCGCATGGGCCCCCCGTATAATCATCATAACTGGGTGATCGTAACTTTTTTTAGTGAGATGAATACAAAATATACACCATAAATCATTTCACAAGCAGGGCACTTTTTATACATTAAATGAACATTCTAATCACTCATTCTAATTCAAGCTACCTATTTTCATCAAATGAAAAAAAATCTTTCCTCATCACCTTCAACTTCATAAAAAGATGCCACTTTCTTGTTCTTTCTCAAAATAATAGTAAGATTTTTTGAAATGTATATTCCACGTTCTTTCAACTATTTTCATAAACTACACCTCACGATTTTATCTCCACAAACTTTGTGGAGATCAAATGAAATTATGAAATTATTATGGATTTTCATCACTCAAATACTTCCCGTGAAAGTATCTATAGAAGATACAATCCGGTTGACGTTACGTTGACGTTACGTTTTGCGTACCTGACGTTACGTTGGCAAAAGTGCATTGCTTCAAATGGCGCTTATTTCGAATAAATTGAATGAGAATTCACTGAAATATTGCAGCTTGAACTATACCTCCATAGAAAGCATACCTTGATGGAAATAAGATCTGCTGTGCGCAAGTAGCGAAAGAAAGTAAGTTAACAGCTTAGAAATGATAGATAGCCACCTGAAACCGTAGATCAGATTTTCTTCCTCGATTACTTTTTGTATCACATTGCTTTGGTGAAAAGACGCACAAGATCAAAATAGCCACTTCCGACTCTGAAACTAATCCCTCTAGACTTCACATATGTTAGTTATCACATTGGTTTATGCGACAAGATGACTACTGGATGGTCACCTGCAATATAGGATCTGATATATTGAGGATATTTCGCATAGTTTATGCTCATGAAAGATTTGCTGTCAAAATTGGTGTCTAGTAGAAATATGCAAAACATCCAGGTCGTTCAACTTTTTTGAGAGTTTCGTGCCGCACAAACTTATTACTGATGAATAAAGTAATTCACCGAAAGCACATTTGACGATTCTAAGTTAACTCGATTGAAAAAAAGTCTCGACTAAAATTCTACTCGGCGATAAAATAGCACTAATTTATAGCTTGAAATTAGCCTCTCGTAATAATAGGAGTTTCTACAATATTCACATGGATCATTATGCATACATTCATTATAAAAAAAACTGAGATATTATCGTTATTATCGAACACTTTTTGGATACTTGCCAATTTTTGATACATCATGGTGAATAGCAGTACCTCTGTTTCACATCTGCATATTCAATTCAAGACTGATTCAATATGGTAGGGTATATACTAAATTCCTCAACCTATCTACCTGTCGAGGTAATAGAAATAGGTATAATCCTAATATTTCTGGGTGCCTCGAGAAAAAACAGGTATAGATTTCAATACCTTTCCCAACATTTTCGAATATAAAAACCCCAATATTTAATGCCATCCATCATAGGTAATTAGTATTAAAAAATTAATAAAAACTAGAACAAATCTGGGAAATGTACGAATAATTTTGTAGTTTCGAACAACTTATTTTCGAGAAAGTTCTTGAAACTCCGGTTCTGGATAAATAACTGATTCTTGGTATATCCAAAATCTACAGAAACTACAAAGTATAATTTTTACTGTTACCAGATTTCATTTCAAATGGAAAACGGTTCGTGTCAGATATAAATCCTAG